CTCTGCCGCTCCCCCTCCTCCCCCTACTTATAGACCGCACGGCGGAGCCAAGGAGGCGCGGCATGGGGGAGCATGGGGATCAACTATGCCCACTCCCCCACATACCGCGATTATTGTGCCCTAACGGCGTAATAAGATCGCCGCGGGAAGGCGAGCGGTCCGCGTGGGCTGCAAAAGATCCGCGCTTGGGCCGAGGCCTAGGAGTGGCAGGCCCGGGCCTACATCGGTGTCTCATCGTGCGCGTGCACTAGCAGGGCTTCACTGCCACGTGGACCGCGGGAAGGCCTACGGTCAGCTCACGGGTCGACCACGTTCCTGCCTACAAGAAACGGAGCTCTCCAAAGTCGGCGCGCACCAGCAAAGCCGGCCCCTCAGGATAGGAAGCTGACCAAGCTTCTCGTTCCTTTGTCAGCCTCGAAGCTCAATCAGCTTCGGGGACTACTCTCGGAGTAAATAGCCATGGGTAGCCTAGCCGGCTTCCCCTGGCCCTTCCGAAAAAAATACGAGCCCATCCGGCTCTCAAGAATCCAAGTCATGGGGCCGCCTTCCCCTTGCCGGCTGTCTCCTAGGCCGGCTATCGGAAGGCAGCCCGACTTTAGCCCTCGTGAAGAAAGCCACGGGAGGGCCGGCTTCGAGAAGCCGGCCGCGAGAAGACCGACTCCAAGAAGCCGGCTCCCACAAAGTGGTCAAGACCGTACCCTCAAAGTTTGCATCCACTTAACGGCGATGTGACGGGGTGTGGCTATAGTGAAGCCTGCCACCCCCGAATCCCGGAGCACGCCTAGCACAGTGCGCCGTACGGGTGGCCATGACCCGTCCGGCGTGCACTGTTGCCATGTTGACCCTCATGTCATCCACGACGGGCCGCCAGCGCGGCCCATGGGCGGTGGGCCCCTTCGGGCAGAGAGACAACCGAAGGCGGCCAGGCCTCCCCCGGTCAGCCCAAGATGGAGCCGGCTCCCCACAGCCGGCCTGCCACCTCCCTCGAAGGAGACGCCCCATTAAGGAGACAAGACGCGGTGAGGCTACAGTGATTGCCTGCCGGACGGCGGCACTATAGCCACGCCTACCTCGACGAAGCCCTCGTCACCAGGATTGAGCAATAGTAACCAGCCGCCGACAAGGCCCTGGACAGTGGGACCTGCCTGTCGGCCGAGGGGCCGGCAGCCGGCGGGCCCCAGCAGTCGGCGCACAAGCCGGCGAGCGTAGTCACAGACGACTGGGCCCCGCGCCCAGCCGGATTACCATTGTACCCCCGGGGGTAGGCCTATATAAACCTCCCGGGACGCCCATGCAAAGGGTTGATGCCTGCTAGTGTTAGAGACCGCACAAGGAGAAGAAGAGAGCGAGTCGTGCCCTTCTTCCTCCTCCCACCAAACAGCTCAAGGAGCATTGTGTAGCTACTTGTTCATCTAGTGATCATGCGGAGACCACGCAGAGCAGCAGTAGGGGTGTTATCTCCACAGAGAGCCCCGAAGCTGGGTAAGATTCGCCGGTGTGCATGTCTTCGGCTCATCCCGTTTCCAGGCACCGGTGATGTTTTACTGGCTCCCACAATGATAAGCTACCCGTTGGCATATGTCGCACCTACCACCCGACACCCACCACTTTGTCAATAGGGTGCGAAACCACGCCATGTCCATTGTGTCGGTGCCCAACTCATTCACATCACCTTTATCCATGACCACCTTTGATGTTGTCGTTGAGCTCACTGCACCAATGTGAAGCCAAGGAATTGGAACAATGTGGTGCGAACTCGGGTGCGAGCTCGTGCGGTCATACCACATGTCGCCTTCTCATGTAGACAACTTCTCGTGATCAACTTTGTCCGGAATTAAACATATCTATAACCATTTCCTTAATATGCTCATATTTCCTTCATAATGTCCATATATACAACAAACCATTCAGATAAGGATATTTGCACATCTTTGCATTAGTAATTAGTAGTAAAGTTGAAGTAATAATCATAAAACTGTTTGAGAATGTCAAGTTTAAACTAGAGAAAATATAACTATAAAATCCACTAATCAGAGCTTGTCGGGTCAGTATAATAAACTCTCTGAACAGGACTAGATCATCAGCATGGCGGGAGCAAGGAAGGAGACAACGTAATATCCCTTGTTTACCCATGGGATGTGTCGTGGAATTAACACGTCAGATGTCCTTAGTGTGAGGACTTAGTCATGAGGCCAACGCATCTATGTGGTAGCTTGAGAGGGGTTGAGCGGAATCGAGAGACGCAACACAAGACAAGGATTTAGACAGCTTCGGGCCCCGGGAAACATCATCCGGTAACAACCCTACATGCTGTTTGAGGCTAGGTCTCATTATCATCACGAGGGAGTCGCCGTAAACCGGCTCTCCTCTTTGTGTCTAGCCCTAAGATTGTTTCTTCTTGCATGTCCTCTTTGAGGAGCCCTACCCCTCCTTATATAAGTTGAAGGGGCGGGTTACATATAGAGTCCATCTTGAACTAAGACTTAAACTATTTTGACTTCCTTTCCTGGGCTTCTTAACGTCTGTCGGTTTAACATTGTCTGCCGGTTTAACATTGTCTGCCTTGACTCCTACTGGTTTACCAAGTCCCAGCCGGGTTACGACTCCGGGCGGGTCATACCGCGGGGTATATCCCCGACATTAGCCCCCAGTTTAATTTGGATTTATCCATGTCAATGCGGATGCTTATTTGACTTAACACATTCTGATAGCAGGAAGAACCGTGTGAGCACTAAGGTGGCAGTGTTAAAACAAGCTACCGCACGACCGGTTCCATGGCTGCCTTCTTACTCGTTGTCTCATCGGCCCTCGGACTATTCATATGTGAGTCTTTGATGCAAGAGATGGTACAAGCTATGGAGAAGAGACTTCGGCTAAACCAAGTCAACATGTTGATGCTCACGCATAAACTTATCAAAAAATATTGTTTTTGCGAGTTGGATTCTCTAGTCAGCCGCATACTAGTATATCGAGCGTTTGTGCCAATATCTATTTATTGGGAATCTTTTAGAGCCGCCCCACCCTAATTTAAATTTTATACTAAGCTTTTGTACCTCCTTAAATTTATTTTTCTCATACTTATATTTTTCAGCTTATAAGTTGATATAGTTAAGCATATAATTATGTTAATTACTAAAGATTTTTATAGTGTTATTTGCTATACATTTGTAATGTAGATCATTGCATTTTTTTCCTTTGTGCTAAATTTAAACGATGTGTTTGAAAGCTCTCTTTGAATTAATTTTTACAATTGCATAAATTTTAGTATTAGTATTAAATATCATGGCAGAGGTCTCTACAATCTAACTAATATCATAATAAGGATATCTAGACTATTATTTAGTAAGCATATTTAAAGAAACTTCTAGAATATGTAACATCTGACAAACATAAAAAACAAATGATTCTACTTCTGCATATGTACACCTTTTGCTGGCAAACTAAAACCCTCATTATATTCCCATATTAGTAGGGATAAATCCCACAAGAAAGTACATATGTTACAATAACTAGCAACAAGAAAATAAAAAGATACAAGCATGCATGCCACCAAGCATGTGTACTGCTATGTCTAAAACGTATTTATATTGTTTGATTTTTTAATGCTATTATAATATCATTTTTTATATTTCTATAGCATTTTATATTATTTGTTTTCAATTTACAGAAAATCCATATCTACGAACGCCTAAACATCATGACAATTGAATAAGATTTTTTCGAGGCACGAAGGTTCCAGGAAGCATCGGAGGGAAGCGAGAGGAGCCAACCCCCCCCCCCCCAATTGACCAGGTGGCACGACCAGGCCCTTGGGTGCGCCCCTAGGTTGTGTGGTCCCCACACTTACCGCCTTTTGTCCATTCCACCATCATAAATTCCTATAAATAGAGAAACCATCCGAGATATTTTTATAAGATTTTTTCGCCGCCGCAAGATTCTGTTCCGAGGAGATCCAATCTAGAGGCATGTTCCGCTACTCTCCCAGAGGCTTCTTCATCAACCTTGCCGCCTCCATGACCATGTGTGAGTAGTTTTCTTAGGACCTTAGGGTCCATACCAGTAGCTAGATGGCTCTCTCTTTCTCTTTGATCTTCAATACCAAATTCCCGTGAGTTGCCTCACATGATCGGGACCCATCTGATATAATTTGTGGATGTGTTTGTTGGGATATGATGAATAGTCACTTCAAGATCAGATTGTCCATTGAATACAATTGAATATTTTGAGGATTTCTTGTTGTATAATTAAATAGCTTTGCATGCTCTCCAATCTATCTTTTCTTTTTGACAAGTTCGATGGGTTTTCTTCATAGACTTGGTGCTTTGTAGTGGGTTCTAATCTTGGAGTGATCTATCTATATCCCAATGACAGAATGGAGAGAAGACTCCTATTGTATTTTGCAACTAAAAATAAAACAACGGTGTCTCGTTGTATTGCTTAATGTTTTCTTGTCTACATTATGTCATCATGCTTATTGCAATCCTCTATTTCTTGTAAACTTAATATTTTGATATGCATGCTGGATAGCTGTCTTGAGGTGGAATATTATTAGTAGATGTAATTTGATTAACGGTCTACTTATCATGAACATAATGCCTATATTAGATTATACCATGAATGATCATAGTCAAAAATAGCCATGCTGGCATGGGCGTCCAACATCACCAATATGACGCAAGTGACAACATCATCTATGGTTTTCTGTCGACAGAAACTATACTCTACTAAATTCCAGTCACCATCTATATATGGTCATTAGGTATTCATGAGGGGCGAATTTCACGGCCATAATACCTCAGAGCCTGATGCATCCGTAATCGACACCATGCTTGAAGCTGCATCTACGGTCAGAACTGAAAACAAATTTCTTTCTAGCAGTCATATTTTTGGAGGGTAAAACAAATTTCTTTCTAGCAGTCATATTTTTGGAGGGTGTGGATAAACTGATCGATACAGCTCGACATATACCATATTACATTCAGGGTGTACGACGTTTCCTGTCATATTCTACTCTCGGCGACAGACACTGGAGCCAAATCGAAATGCTCCTCAAGCACCGACAGTACTTCAGGGAGTGAAGACACCATGAAGTCAGGCTTAACATCTTCAGGCAAAGATTCGTGGGGGCCGTATCGTCCAGTTTCGTCAAGCAGGCAAATGAATGCTCCTGCTCTCTTTCCACAAACGATCTGCGCAAGGTTTTCAAAGGCAAGGCAAATGAATCAGTACACATGCACAAGCTATCGGAAAAGTTTAAGATTCACAAAACTGTCACAAAAACTGTCCTGAACTCCGGCTTATGTAAGTGCTAGAATTAAGGAGCATTTAGCGAAAGCAGCACAAGCACAATTCCTTTTGATTCATGGGCATGCTGGAAGTATGAAACTACTGTATAACTTACTGTGGAGCTTTCAAATTTTGAACTCGTAATATCTACACTAATTTAGGAATCCTGATAGTATGCCTTGATAACTCAAACCATGGCACAAAGCAAAGTGAACTGTATAGGAATCATTCATATGCTAAGCTACATAATGGGATGAAAAATGCTCACGTCATCCTTGAGGCTGTCACCAACCATGATCACCTCGGTCGGTGGAATGTCCCAAGTGGAGCAAATATGAAGCAATGGAGCAGGATCTGGCTTATAGGGGCGGAATTCTCTGCTTAATGCAGGCACAAATGTCATCTGCGTAAGTTTCAGATGTGTGAGATTAGCATATTGAAGATGATTGCAATATTACAGATCCTGGAAAGTTATTTCACTTCACCATACCAATATATGACTAGCAAAAAATCATGTTGGTTGAGCATAAAGTAACACATGAATATTAAAAGACACATGTTATGCAGAGTTACAATATAACCTCGGAATTTGGCTATATCAACATTCAGCCTTTCTACATGACACAAGGATTGGGGAGATCGACATTAAGGTATGTTCAGAAAGGTGCAAGAAACTAGTTGCAGAACATTACCAAAATAAACACAGATTTGGGTTGAGTGTCCCAAGGTATATCACAGTAATATACATGGGCAAGCAATGGATATCATCCTAAAAGTATAACCACGAGATGAACAGAATGAGTTTAGTGCAGCAAACTTACACCAAACCTTTGGTGAAACAAATCAACTGCGGCCTTCACATTGCGGGTGATTAAACCCCTCCTGTGTAATACCAATGGTAGGAATCAGTAACAAAAACATAAATATCTCTAATCTAATAAAGTAACTACATACAAATGCCACTAATAATTGCAGTTATTTCTGTACCATTAGTCTGGCAGATTTTTACAATAACAGACAGAAGCTACACATGAACTCAATGGCACATGTCAAAAAAAGTAAGTAAACAACAAACTAGTAAGCTACATCCAAATCTGACGCGTAGCTCAAAAAAAAAAAGCAACCGTGTCTGTTATATATACAAGTAAACAACAAACTAGTAAGGCACCTGCTGCTAGAGTGCTTCTTCCTGATCACGAGGACTGATGGCATTAAGAAATCAGTTGGAGATTCATAATTAGTGATCTAGTAATTCACAACCAAATTAAGAATAAAAATGCATGATTTTGTGACACGATATTTATGGCTCCAGAGAGTGGAAGTTCCCGCTCCAAGATGCATGGGAATTCCTTGGAATAACACGATTTCATCAAAAAGTTGATAGACAAGACGTACTGATCATTAGGAAGTAAGGTAATCCAGGATCAGAGCCACACGCGCGGATTTGCAATAGCATGGGTTTGCATATCAAATTTCGAGCCATTCAATCTATATAGCCTACAAAGCACTCTTCCTATCATCCGAAAACAACCTCTCTAACTTCCTGAAATGTTAGTCCGTACATTAATCGACAGACAGTTCACTATTCATACAGCAAAGCCCCAAATCATGGCATGAATCAACGTTTAAGCAACTGCATGGTAGTGGTACTACCAGGTGCAAATGGTATTACACTTGCCCCAAATCAATTCTGAAAACAAAGTACAATTGAGCACATAGTGAGCTGTACAACTAACTGAACTGAACCGAGCATCACACGCATGCAAACTGAGCTACATTTTGAGACAAACAATCCCCACCTGATCTGCCTCGCGTCGAGGAACCCGCAGAGCTCCGAGGCCCCTGCAAACCGCAAGCACCGTCACACGCCGATAAGGGAAACCAGAATCAGACGCAAGGGGGGCCGACCGGGAGGGGCTCACCGGGCATGATCTGGAGGCGGTCGAGGCCGTCGCGCTCGAACCGGGCGATGGCCTCGTAGGCGCGGCGCTGCTCGTCGGGGCCCCAGGCCTCGATGCAGTGGAGGATGTCGACGGCGCCGCGGCGTAGGCCGCCTCCCCGCCGAGCACCTCGCGGTACATGGCCGGGAAGTCGATGACGGGCACCGTCAGGGTCCCGTCCATGTCGAACACCACGCCACGCAGCGGGACCCTGCGGCGGGCGGCCGCCGCGGAGGAGGACATGGAGACGGCGGCGGGCGGCCGGGGGGCGAGGCGGCGGCGTGGGAGGAGGAGGAGGGGGCGGGGGCCGCCGGCGAGGAGGCGGTGCGCGGGGAGCAGGCGGGGGAGGAGCATGCGTGGCGCGGTCTCCGGCCGGCCGCGTCTGTCTGTGGCGTGCGCGCGCGCGTGCCGGCGGCTGGGCGTGTGGTGGGTGGGAGTGGGAGCCCGCGCGTGTGGCTCTGATCCTGGATTACGCGCCGCATTTTTCTCCAACGGGATTACGTCTTCCGGTACGGATCACGCACAACTATTGCAGGTATCTAACTGCTTTACGTCTTCCAGTATGGGTCACGGGTATAAGACTGGTTCTGCACAGGGGTTGAAAATATGTGTTTAAGCGCAAAGTGTGCATACCAATGAAAGTAACATCAAGATATTTTCACAGTACCATAGAATCATTAGGTTCTACACCAGCCAAGGCATTGATATTTTCATAGCTAGGATTCTGCAATTCAATTCCGTTAGGTACATTCCTGATTCTATACAATTACAACATGTCATAATTACCTAGTGCACAAAGCATCAGAGAGATCAGAATGAAATATTATAACATGAGTGCAGTCGGGAATGTGTTCTTGAAAGCCGTTGCACCTGTACATTTTGGAGACATTTTGTTTAGGTGGCTTGCGCAAATTTCAATGAACAAACGAAGTCTGAGCACATGTTGGCCAATATTTATACATGTGTACTGGTCCATTACTCCAACAAACAATATCAGAATGGGTTTCCTTTTTAGACCAGTCATGCACAAAATCTCCCCCAAAGAGTAACAGTTGCATGTTTTCTTTACAATTCATTATCGAGTTATTTCATGCGATAAAACTACTTATAAAATGTATGATGCCATGATCTCAATAAAAATACACACTCTCCATCTATGATGGAAATTTGGTGTCTTGGTTCTCCAGCAGCACCGGTAGGGGGCAAAAGGTTGGCAACAACAGTAACCAAACCAACTACATCTATAAATTCAGAAAAATGCAAGAGTTTCAGAGTAGGACAGAGCAAACTGGTAAGGAAGTTGAATTTCACAAATTAAAATTAATGCAAACTAACCTGACATAATTAAGCACAATTGATCAAATATGTTTTTCAAGCTTGGAAAGCAGTAGCACATTAGAAGCAAATCATAGGAAAGCCCGATGGCCGAGGATTTATAAGAATCACGTTGGTTCTGTCGACAAAAGGTTATATAATGTGATATGCTGCTTTGTACTTTTCTTTTGCCTATATTATCAAATGTCGTACAATCTTGTACAATC